TTTTTTTTCTGCTTTCCTTTAACTGCATCAGCACAATTGTTTAAGCCTAATGTAATAAATCAGTAATTGTGAAGTCTAGAGTTAAAATTATATTTTAAATCTATATAATGCAAACTGGAAGATAAAAATAAATTCAGAATTAAGCCTGCCCCAACATTGTAATCTTAGCCTAGATTTTAAAGGTTTTCCTACTATGTGTATTTTGCATTTTTTTTTGGCATAAGATCTAGGTGTTAGTGAAACTAATGGAAAGAGCTAGGTGTGGTGTGGAATGTTTTTGTATGTTTGTGACATATCATTTTTAACAGACCTTTATGAATTCATCTGCATTGACCGCTACCAACATGGTTTAGATTGTAGAGATGACCAGGTTAATTTGCTTGGGAATAAAGTGTCAGTCCTTTATTGCTTGTATTGCGCTTATTTTCCTGTTAAAAGAAGACATAAGAACATACTTTCTTTTCAATGTTCCAATGTTTTTTTTTTTTTTTTTTTTTTTTTTTTTTTTTTTTTTTTTTTTTTTTTTTTNTTTTTTTTTTTTTTTTTGAGAAATATCAGCCATTTTAAAAGACCCTGTGGAATTTTAGACTAACTCTGTATGGCTACAGCTCCACCTGCATCCGCCCACCTGTGGTTTCTGGTTCATGCCAAATCCTCGAGACCATCAAAATCACTAAGACAGGCTGCACAAGAAACCTACCAGAAACACTTCTGGCTGCTAATATCTGTCTTCTGACCCTCACTGGCAGGACTACTAAGAAACTGGAGCTCTTAGTTGCCCTGGGACATGATGTACTTTGCAAGGACATCACTTTTTGAGCTAGATAAGTAGCTGAGACCCTGAATATATACGTTTTGTGACACCAGGCTGTGTTTTACATTAGTCTGCAAAAACTGAGAACTGCAGTTTCATCTTTCCCAGAGGAGAGAAGCTACAGGCCAAACTATGGGAGTTGAAGGGCGTGAATCCATAGGTGGCAGGTGAGGAGAACTTCCTAAAGGAAAGCTGGTTTGAGCCTTCCCAACTAGTACCTCTCCAGATGGAGGTCAGCATGGTGTTCTCTTCTCCTCGTGATATCAGGTTCTGGACATGTCTGGTCATTGGTCATAGCTCCATATCTGGAGCTAGTGTCCAAATGTGAGGAGCAAGCAGGGATGGGAGCTGCAAGCCCAGCTGGAGCACAGGGAGGAGCTCATATCTAATATGTGTCAAAATTTCAGGTTGTTTGTCTGTGAGATGAAAGTATCTATTCCTTGCTAAACAGCAAGGAATTTAGACATTTCTAGCTCAGTAAACCTCTTCAACTTATGTTTGTTGTTTTTTATTTGTTTGTTTTTTAACAATTTTTACCTTTTTTTTAGCAGTTCTGACTGTTGCAGTAATGAGGTTGTTTCACTGAATGCAGCTGATCACACATACAAACAGTCCCATCCTTCAAGCCATGGTCTAGTTTTTATTTGTCTAGAATTTTATAAAGATGTCTATGAACGTAATAGCTCAGCAACTATCCATATCTTATAGTTCTTTTTATAGACTAGTAAATTAGAACAATATTAACTAGTGTGTTCAAATCGTTAGAAGAGCGGAACATTTAATTGGATGCTGTGTGCTCAGATTTAGTATGAACAATGGCCTGAACGGAGCTCGTATTGCAACATACTTGTCATAATAAAAATGTTGATTTTGGCTCTTAGCAATTTAGTTTATTGTTTGCTTATTGTAGCAACATGGAATAATCTTATTTAATTTTATTTGTGCCTGTCAAGCTAGATGAGGAATACTATAATAAAACATTTTAGGAGAACGTGTTTTCAAATAAAAATATGACCAAGTAAACAAGAACAGATGTCTTATGCCATTAAGCCCTTATTTTGTAGAAGACCTTTGATTTCAGTCAAGGCAGCATTAGCATTAGTTCAGTCTGACTGAATAAAAACACTTTAAAAGTGTGCTTAATTGATTATAGCATCACATATGAACAGGTGAATGAATGTCTAAAAACCTCTTTGAGGAGTATTCAGAACTGAATATCATGAGGAGCTTGAGCAGTTGAGGATAAGAGAGGGAAAGATTTTTCAGAAGAGTTGCGTATCCTAAGGATAATATCTATAGATTATGCCTCTAAATCCCTTTGGACTCACAAGGCATATTGTCTAAGATGCCTGGGCCAGAAGAAGATGACAGAGGCACGGTGTCATTTCTACTTACCTTTTTCAGGAGTGCCTCTTTTTTATTTTTCCTCCTTGGTCTTCTAAATTTGGGGTTCATTGGGGACAATCTTTTCAGAAACGTATTGTGGTTCCCTTGCTATTCCTTCCACTTAATCTCTTGTGTCTACAAGCACCTTAGTCCCTCTGTTACTGCTGATTTTTTTCTGATAAAAATGAATGAACCCCTTGTTCTGCTGACAAACAGTAAGCAGGGGGTTGGAGAACTGGGAGAATGGAGAACATTATGTAGGACTTCAGTCCTACATAAGTGAGCTAGAGGACCTCCAGCTTGGTCCTGCTCTTCTCCTGCAATGTGTGTAGAGCAGGGCTACCATCCACCCTGCCTGTATCTCTTGCTCAGATCCTTGGGAAACAGGGATGATCAAAGGGTACCCAGCAGGGTACGTGATCTATTCACTGTACCTGATATTATTTCACTGCAAATTATCTTGAGTTGGCTGAGATCTGGATTATCCCCCTTGAAAAGCAGTTCCCTGCCTCTTTGCTTCCCCATCCTTCCTTGGTCGTTGACCACAGCTCAAGGGACAGTAGAGGTGACGGGATTAGGAAGCAGTAACCTCCTTCCAAGCACTCCTTGGTATTCCTAGGAAACTGACAGGAATTGCTGGCACTGCTCCAACATCCTTGCCCATGGAGGTCTTCCCGTAAGGTGATACTGACAGAAAGTTAAAAAAGCAGCTCATTTTGCATCCTTTTTTCTGTGAGTATACTGACAGTCATAGGGAGAATATAAAGGTCATTCTTGTTCAGTTAATGCATTTTATGTTCCCATTACCTGTCCAGAATGAAATGACAATGATTTCTCCTTAGTTTTTATATATTTTTTTTGAGTCAGACTGTCATAGTGACTTTAAAGCATTTTCCTCACTGTTGTCTTCATTTTTCTTTTTTGTACAGTGGAACACAGGTAGATGAAATGTAGAGATTGCTTAAGAATATCTGCAATATCTGTTAATGCTGCTAACATTATTGCATATAAGTTGTGGAAGGTCAGTCTATGAAGCTTTTTAATGATGTATTCTTCTCCAGCTTGTTTTCAATCCAACCTTTAATTGATTCTTTCATTTTCAACAGCTCTTAGGTACTTGTCACCACAGTCTACATTCATAGATATAATAAAAGCTGCAGCTAAAAGACAAAATAATTTGAATTTTCCCAAGAATCATGAAGTATCTTTAATAATGGTTTTCACAGCTTCTTCTGAATTAAATGCTTCTTTAATCATTAACAACACAAAGAACTTCCTGATGCCATTTGCTTTATATATATAATAGTAACATTAGCATCTGTATAGCAGGATTTTTTAGAGTGAGAATAAAATGGTCTGTCTAAACAGCCCATTTTCTTGCTATGAAAAACTATTACAGAATTTAAAGGATGTACTTACATAATGTATTACTTTCTCTTCTGAAAAAGCTCACATATTTGAAGTTCTGTCGGATGAAACCTAGGAATCTATCCTTCCCAGTTATCTTGCCTTGCTCAAGACTTCTGTGAGTTTATATTTTTGTGTTTGATTAGCTAATTTTGATTTCCTATTGAATTTTACCTAGCCTGAACAAAGACAAGTTAACCTTCTGAAAATGAATGCCATGGCAGAAAACGGAGGGAAAATTCAGTATATCTATAACTTTAAAGATAAAGGTTGAAAGTTAAAGATGACAAATGTTTGATATTGGAAATGTCCCTATTTGCAAGCTTGGCAGTGCAATCTTGTGGGGGTAGTAAACGTATTTGGCCCAGAGCTGAGTGGTTCTTAGCTCTGAGCTCTCTTGCAGCCTGTTTTGCACTGAGGGCACTGTTATCACTAAGTGGCATTGACACTGTTTCTCTATGTAAGTTTTAAGCATATGATATTACTTACATAACTCTCTTGACCACAATATAGACAAGCAATTTTGTTGTGAGATGCAGTGCATCCTAACACATTTAAAGTATTTCAGATTATTTCGACCTGATTCATTTGATGTCAATTAGAGACAATTAAAAATAACTAATCATCTTCTAGATAGTGTGTATCTATTTTTATTCAATACAATTGAAACACGCAAGACAAGATATTGGATTTCAATATATCACAGAATTATTTTTACCTAGATACAGATAAGGACATAATCATATTGAAACTATGAAAATTTAAAAATTTTTGAAAATTTGTAAAGTATAGTAAAAATTACCTTCCAAAATTATTATAACTTCTGAAAATAAAGATAACGTGCTTACTGATATATAGACTTTCATAATTAACAATATGCTCTGTGAGACTTGGCAAGAGAGCAGATCAGAAGGGACTTGAGTGTGAAACATTACTGTTTTGCCTATGTAGTATTTTGAGAGAATGTGTATTTGACAATACATGAAGACATTTATAAATATATAGAAAAATAATGAACAGAAAGAGTAAGAAGTCTCCTTAACACTGCATGTTCTTAACCTTATGCTATTTTTCTTGCCTATAGTTAAAGCAGCTATCTCAGACCTTTATACATCATTCTTTCCATATCACATGTATGTGTAGGTAAAAGGCACTATTACACAGCAAACTCAGGTGGGCTTATGACAAGAATGTATAAAATGCCAGTTCTAGAAAGCCAGGACTTGCTACTGTTTCTTTTCCAGTATATTTAGTATGCAATTTTCATCTGCATTGCTGTTTATTTTTGCTTTATCAAGAGACTGCTGTGCTATATAACAGACTATGTTTTAAATGGATTTGATGGTCAAAGCTGAATGGGCAGAAAGAGATAAATGTATTGGAGGACTGGAGCTTAAGTCACTGTTCTTGGGGTCAGACTGATGTCCCTTACCCTTTGTGGCAGACAGCAGCAGCACTGGCATTTCGGATGACATTTTATAGCTTTCATTCTTTGATAGAATGCCTTATTTGCTACCATAAAAATGATTGGGTCAAGGCAACTATTAAAGCTGCAGATGAGCTCTGTGACTTTATAAATGGCAAATACTGTGCTTACATTTCCGCAGTGTAGTTTGCAGTTTATTCTGTAAATTAGTATGACCAACATTGTAACATGATAAGGAGTGAAAGAAACAGCGAATACAATCATAGCAGCTGAAATCAGTAGCAGAGGTCTAACAAGTGCATTCTTTCTTTGCTGGCGTTTATTGAGTTGCACTAATGCTCTGAAAGTCAACATATAGCATGTGAAGATGACTGTGACCGGAATCAGGAATCTCAGTAAAAACCTGGAGAGTGTGAGTGGCACCACAAAATGTAAAGGTCCGCCAATGTTATCCAGGGATATGATATCATCAGAGGGTCTTCTGGTGACGAATGTATAGTACATCTCCGGCACTGATCCGATAACGATGAAGATCCATACTGCAATGGTGCAAAAAGTTGCCTTGCCTTTGTCCCACCATCTTAATGAACTGATAGGATGGACAGCACCCACATATCGGTCAAAACTGATGAGTGTTAGAAAGTAGATGCTTCCATAGATGTTAATGTTGAAAAATAACTTTCTAACCTGATAAAATGTTTCACTGGAGTACACTGCTATGTTCTGGAGACTGTAATAAACTGAAAAAGGTGCCATGAGAATCCAAGTAAAGTCACAGAATGCCAGATTAAACAGAAATATAGTGCTAGTAGTCCATGTTTTCACACAGTACGTGTAATGTCCCAGTGCAAGCATATTGCCTAGAAAGCCCACTAATAAAGTAAAAAGGCAAACCAGAATAAGAAGATAACAGTGCCACTCCAGTTTGTTTTCCTTATTGCAAAAGATAATCGGGCATGTACTGTTCAGCACTGGTTCACTGAGTATGCCTGCAGGGGAAAGAGAGCATATCATCTTTAACAATTTGAAAAAGAATCACATATATTGAATTTCCAATTTATTTAAATCCAGTATGACTGAACTGGCAAAAGGAATTTGGAACACAATGTGATGCACAGGCTCTTGCTCTCTACCTGAACAACTGTAAATTGCAAAAACGTAAGACTTAAAGCAACGCTAGCACAGGCTGATTTTTTATGACCTTCCATCAGGACCTTTATATGGTTTTTGGTCTAGTATTTCCAGTTGAGTATAGTCCCTGATAGGTAAGAGAGCAAAAACATGCAACCTCAGGAACAGCAGTTTCTAACTCTTTCATTTTGTCTCACCCCTCATGGCCCAGTTTACATCAGCCATCATTATGGGTAGATAATACAGATCCACAGCAATTTTTTCAAAACAAGGTTTTTTACCTTGTTTTTTTACCTTTGAAGTCTAACTTTTCATTTTTTATTCCTAATAAAAACAAAAAGCAAAGTGTTTTCCCAAATTGAGCTACCACCACTTTCAGTTTGATAGATTTTTAGAATGTGTCTCCAAATGATGCAGCAGATACCAAACTTAAAGATTTATCCAAACAGGAGCTTGAAGGCTATACAAATATCTTTCTAGACATATTTACACAGTGATATTGGGAAGTCAGTATGAATTTTTAGTCAAAAGAAAATCCACTTAGAATGGAAGAAAGAACTCTTTTTCAAAATCCTATTGGTTGCATGAAAAGCTCCAAACAACTTTAACCATTAAGTTGGTAGTAGTGCATTTTTTGGAACAAAATGTTTTGCTCTTAAGTCTTTCTTCATACTTACAATATGATTTTTCCAAAGTGAAATTTACAGACAGAAGTTAGAATACAACAAATATGAGCCACCAGTGAAGATGTGCTAAACGTAGGCTGAACTAATTGTACTTTCCAAATTCATGGCTCACCCAGATATGAACATACACAAATGCTAGTTCAGGCTGTACTCAGTGAAATTAAGAAGGAAAATTGTTTTTCTAGACACTCACCCGCAAAAGCAGACAAATGACTTTCTAGGAAGTGAGAATGACTAGACAACCATCTGTTCAGGTCCTAGTGTGTTTTATGGCTGGGGGATGTTTGTTCTCTAAATGTGTTTTGTTAAATGTTGAGACATTGTACTTTCATCTGTAGAACTGCATTTTTCTCTTTCCCTATTTCATAGCTTTGTGAATATTGAATTTTGCAATAGTTTTTCATCAACTGAAGTTTTTAAGGTATGCCTATAAATCCTTAGAAAGGATGGGTGCCATACAGTCAAGTAACATGCTTTATAATATGTAGTATTAAACATGACCTAAGTGTAAATGTGGAAAATTATACATCCCTAAAATCATCTTGGCTAAAGGTCATGTATACTTTGAATTAAACTGTGTTTCTTTCCTCTCTGACTTCCATTTCAATAATTACAAATCAGAATGCTAAGCGCTTGATTCCAAGTTATATTGGCAACATAAATACTCCCTAATTTGGTTATAAATGACATGGTCAAACCTGCATGGAGGAAGTGTAATGCCAGTAATTCCTGATCTTATCAGGCCTCTGGAAAGGGAGATTAGGCATGCTTAAAAGGAGAGAGATAGAAATCTGTGCCATCTGCTCTTACGTAGGTTGGCCAGATATGGCCTGGATGTATAGCTGTGTAACTGTATTGATAAATCTTTACTCCCTATCTCTTTCATTTTACCAGATCACACTCAAGACTGAACTATATGAACTTGTATGTCTGGAGGGGTTGGACCTACAAAATTGGCTAAAATGTGTTTGAAGTTACAGAGTGTTTAAAAATGTGTCAGAATTTTTTGCTGTGTAGATATTTCCCTTGTGTCTGCTTTGGAATTTTGATTTTCTAAATTATTCTTCGCTGATTTTTAAAATTTATTGTTTTTATTGTAATAGAGCTTACAGTCCATAACCTAGACTAGATTTTTGAAATGATGTGTTTTATATTTGCCTTGAAGTGATTTGTAGTCTCTAGCAAGGTAGACACAAGGAAATCTGTATGTAGAGAAAAAGAGCCTTTCCTGAGGTTCCTATTATGGTAGGCACAAGAGCTTTGACTCCCATCTGAATGCTGTAGCAAGAAGTCCTAGTCTTCCACTTCAAGAATTTGGAGATTTTTCTGTTGTGAGGAGCTAGTTTCATTGCTCACAGGCAGACGTTTTAAGCATGGTGACTAGCTCTTCTACATCCTCAGGCAATTAGAGCTACTCTGATATCTAGGACATCTGCTTATGCGCTTTAATAATTTCCAGAAGTTAAATGGTTAAATGACAAATCTTCTCTCCACCTTTTTAGCATGACGAGAATAGACTAGATTATCTTCAGAATTCAAGTCTAAAACATTTCACCCGTATTTTCCTTTTCCAAAATTACTATGTTCCACACTGAATCTTCCTATTATTAACCAAAGCGCTTCAGCACATACACATAGCCTTAGCAGTGGCAAAAAGAAAACAAAGTAACATAACCAGCAAATTACCTCATTTGTTCCAAAAATCCCTTGTTTTGTCCTAAATCCATATTGTCCTCCCCCCAAATCCTGAGATCTCCACTTCTCGCTGCTCTCCTTGTGCCTGTGAAATGGCCTCTGAAGTCTTGCAGTAAGTAGAAGGCCACGTTTCAGTAAAAATTGTTTTTTAGAGGAAACTTCTTTTGGAGCTTAGAAACTAATACATCACCAAAAAGAGTTTGATCTATATGTATAGATAATTACTGTTCACAGTTTATCACTAGTAGTCTTTCATTTAAGCTGTATTTGGGAAAATTATGCTAGATTTAGCTAGTATTTTTATGTATAAATATATACATACTATGAATGAACTTCCCTGGCATACTTTTTTTTTTTTTTTGACAGTTTTAACAGGGTTATAATAACAGATTAATTTGACCTAAAGCAAAAGAAGGATTAAGCTCAGTTTATAGCTTATTTTATGTTATTTTACTCCTTATCCAATATCTCTTTGTCCCTTGTTCCTCTTTGCTTGAAATTCACTATAATAAAGGCGTTTATTTTACATAAACTTTTTACATGAACTGTTTTATTTATTTGGATTACTCTGAGATTTTTGCCTGCCTGTTAACATCCACATCTGAATTTAGCACAAATCTATTACAGCTACTGTATGGGTTTATGCTGTAGTGTTCCATGGCGTCTTTTTCACATTTCTATCAACAGGCCAGTTTATTTCTGTGTGTTACACATGCTCTCAAATTGGATCACTTCTGATCATCTTTTAGACAGTGTAATAACACTAATAAAACATTATAAAGAAAGTGCTAAGTTTTGTTAAAAAATTATTATTTGTAATTTTTATTTTTGCATCTTACCTGATAAGTTATTAATGATCTCATGCATGCTGTTAAGTGGAGCATTTCAGCTGTGTTACTTTAGCTGAATTAAGCATATTATAGTTATTAGTACAAAAGGGTTGATAGGTAATATATTTCTGAATGCAATTAAATAGTATTGTGCTAATATCCAATTTCTTTTTAATGATTTGATTTATATTTCATATTTATATTTTATTGTGATTAAACTACTATTTTTGTCAACAAAAATGACATTATGTACTTACTTAAGACTTGAGGTTGATCAAAGCTCATATGGCAAACAAGCTACAGCACAGAAGTAGTTAAAATTTTGGAATTTTTCTATTGAAAACAATAATTCTGCATAACTGCTTCAAATAATATGAAATACATTTCTCTGTGTGTGTGATAACTAAACTGGGAAAATTATCTTACCTAGGAGAATACAAGTAGAATGAATACTTAATAAATCTTTCTCTTACCTGGTCTGAAAATGCTGGAATCATCTGTATTACAGAAGTCTAGGCTCCAGACTATATTTTTCTTTTCCATTAATCTGGATCTTCTGAAATGACAACTCTGTTTTGCAAGTACTGTTTTTAATCCAAGTTTTCAGTAATATTCCATATGAAGTGACAGCTTATCAGAGAGCAGGTGTTAAACTACAAAGGACAGATGCTGTTTATCATTAAGCCCCTCCTCTCAATAAAACTGGATAAATTGCTATTACTATAACAACTTCCACACTTTTTTTTTTTTTTTTTAGGCAAAGATAGTCTTACAACAAATTTCCAGTCTGTCTATGCCTTAGGACTTCCACTGTTTGCAAAAATGAAAAAGAGGAGTATAGGATCTTGGGACATTGGTATAGGTGTTTGCACTTTCCTGTTCCTTCTTCACGGCCAGAATCCTAGTTATTGCTGCCTTGCTTCTGATTTGGGGAATGGACCTGTGGTGATCATAGAGGTCCACGCACATCACCTACCTGCCTGCCGCTTCTCCTTCCCCACAGCTTCCCATCGCCTGTCACAGAGTGCCTGTCCTCCTCCTCTGTTCCAGGACTCAAACCCTCCTGGACACTTCCGAATCATTCCTGGTTCTCCAGTGTTCCAACCCCAAGTCTGCATCCCCAATCCTTACAGACACAGATCAGTCCCAGAATCCTCTTTTCTATTCCCCGAACATGCCACAATTCTCACCAGTTTCATCCCACTCCATAGCTTCCATGTGTGTTCAGCTCTAATTTATACTGAAACAGCGGACTTCCCAACCCACAGGTTGAGAACATGTTAAAAAATCCATTTATTTTCTCAAAGGAAGATTGCATCTAGAAAAAAATAAACCATCTGTGGTAACCCCCTGGTAAAACAGCGGTGCAGTGAAACAGTATTGGTTATTATATTGCTGTTCAAGTATGAGAGATTGTGAGCTCAGATAATATGTGCTAAAACCAGTAGAAGTAAGAGGCAAACTGCTAGAGGACAGAGTTACGAACACCAAAGAAGGTCCAGATTTCAAGAACTGGACTGAGGTGGGTGGCACTTGAAGAAGACAGGAGGAGATAGTAGGTCTGAGCTCAGTAGGTCTGAGCTTTAGATAAGATAGCAGTGATTAGAAATGGAAAAAATGGTTTCAAGGCTTTCTATGATTCTATGAAGGCACCATTTTGCAGAGATCCAGGAGAAAAAAGATCCAGACAATGGATATACACAGTAGGCCTAAAGAATTTGGAGATGATATTATATTCTTGCAGAAGCAAGTATGGAGAATATTAAGAAGCGAGAAAACAATAGATGTGCTGAATTATGAAAGAAAAGGGCTCCAGGAGACTGAGAGATTCGGAAGATGAGAGGTCCAGAAATTGGATAAAATGGGCAAGAAAAAGGGGTAAAGGGACACATGAAATGAAAAGATGAAAACTTTTATATTGATGACAATGAAGAAGGATTGAAGGACAGAGGGAAAAAAGGTAAGAGAAGAAGGAAGAAAAGGAAATCTAGTCCAGGAAAGATATGTTCCTGAAGAAAACACGTTGAGTTTTGCCTAGTACCAAAGATGAGAATAAGCAGAGATTTTTTTGAGCAACAAAACATACAAGTGTGCTTTAGAAAAGGTACTCTCTGCAAATGTCACGTAAGCGTAGAATTTTTGCAGATTAGAACCAGTGCAAGGTCTTTCAGAGGTTTATACTTTGCTGTCCTGATGAAACTGGTGCTGCATATAATGTATGCTAGGGGACATATTTCTACTTAAAGTGTTTCATAAGAGAAATGCTCTACTAAACAGATGAGAAATTCATGTATGAGTCAGTAAGCTTTTTTTAGTGCTTGAAATAAATTGTAATGGTCTGTAATCTTTCCCAGCTCTTCTTAAAAAATGCTGTTATTGGTATGTTATTGTTACATTTTTGCTTTTTTTTTTTAATTTCATGATCTTGATTTCATATTTTCAATGTGTAACATTTGAAAAAAGGATACAGGAAAATGTGCATAAGGAATTGAGATTCTTCTACATTTGGGAATGATAAAAAAAATGTTCAGGCCATGGAGGCTTATTTTTTTAATAATGCCACCTAGAGCAAGACACTTTTTAAGTTGGTGTTTGTCAAATTGTAGTGTAATAAAGTGCTTTGAGTTAGCATATAATCGTGTGCCTCTCGGTAAGAAATGACCACTATAGCCAATGTATTGCTATTAAATTTGTTAAATACAGTCTGTAGTACAAACCTCTTGAAATCCCATCTGGGATGTTCAATTTAGATCTTCTGGAGACTCAAGCACTAAAAAAAAAAGAGATCTATACAACCACCACTCACCCACGCCTACTTAGTTCACTAATCAGTGGAAATAAATAGCCTCTGCAGGAATAAGAAACATTAGAATTCCATATAAACTATAAAAAGCAGGATGAGGGGGAGTATTGTATTGCAGTAGAACTTGTAAGGACATGGCAATAAAATCAATCGTGTTCTGTCAAACTTGTAACATTACATTTCTGAAATGGCAAGAATATTACCGTGAAAACCAGTCATAACTCAAATACTCTAGGGATCTTTTATTTCTCTGTGATGCAGTGACATTTAGTGTAGATATCTGTCTGGAAAATGAATAGTAATTAAACTGTCAGTATGGCTATAAGCTCTATTTTGTTTTGTGTTGGGATTTTTTTTCATGTTAGCACTTAAAGATTCAATCAGTTTGGAGCCTAGCTGTGGTGTAACATAGCAAAAGTCTGCAGTGTATATAGCCAGAGTAGCTAATTTCTAAGAGCAAGAGAATAATATTACCTTTCATTTTGTGCATCCAGGACTTGAATGCAAAGTAAGTTATTTGCCTGTAAGTCACAAGAAGTCTCCTGTGGGATTCAAAAATGAGCCTAGAGAACTTTGTAGTCTCTACTGTGGTCCAGAGCACCTTTCTATGAGGACATTGCAGCTGAAAAGCTGCGTGGAATATGAGTATAAGCCTTCAAATGTACCTCAAGAAACTGAAACTTTCTCAGAATTTCCTAACAAACGGGTAGCAGACAGTCCCAGGTGACAACCATGCACAACCACACAGGAAAGCAGTGAGGGTGCTTAGTACCGTTTTCGTAATATAATTGAGAAGAAGCTGTAATTGTTTATTTATTATTTGTTAATTTACTAACCATGCATTTTCTCTACTTTGGGGCTTAAATGAGAATCATCTTAATATGTTTTTTTCCTGTGGTGCATAGAATCTCTCTCTAATCTAGTATGTTGCAGGTGATTTCCTTCTTCCTCAGCCAGTTCAGCAGTTGAAGTCATCCTGTCACAAATGCATATTATGTTTCTCATGTGCCCAGCTGTCCCGAATCCCCTCCTCTTCTACTCCCCATCTGTGTTTTTCAAAAGCTAGACCAGCATATATTGCACGATGACGTCTATCTAAGTTTTGTTGTGTGATAGTTGTCTGTTCTGAGCTGATTATCTCATCTCTGTCTGTAGTCAATGTAGAAAGACAAGTAACCTTTAAGATTTAATGAATGTTTTTACTGTTAGAGAAATACCAGGCAGCAAATAGCATATTTCTCAAGTCCTTAGATACTCATGACACTCAAATTCATGCAGTCAAGCAGAATTCACTATTTAGAAATACACATTTTTTTTTTTTTTCAGAACACTGAGAATAGCACTGAAAAAATGGCTCTTGGCTTGGAGTCAAGACTAATTCCTGAGATTTTCCCTGTGATATTGGTATTAGAGTGTTAGGACATAGAAGTTTCTAGGAGATGTTTTGACTTAAGCCAGTGTCCTTCCATTTCCTCACACTGGCCACAATGCTGAACTACCATTCCTGAGGCCTCAAGGTCAGCGGCTGATGGAGTTGTTTTAATTGAAAAAGAAAATGGGTGAAATTTCTTTTTTTTTTTTTTTTCCCCTAAGGATGGGTCAGTTCCACACAATCGTTCACTTCTGTATCACTGCTTGACTTGATGTTCCAAGTTACAAGAATGTGGTGAGGACAGGTGGAGTGGGGGCAGACACTAATGGTTTCAGTATGTACATTTAGTATATGTTAAATGACAGCCACATTTTGATCAGATCCCACAGTTACGATGAAGAATTGTTCAGAGAGGTTCATTTCAGTGATTTTGATTGCAGATTCAAAGCCCAAACCAGTTAGTCATCAATCCGTGGGAGGCAGCCTTTGTAGGAATCTCTCTTCATGCTGAAGTCCAACATGTAGTTAGGTTGCATGATCTTGAAATCTTTATGCCCTCTCCACACAAAGTGAAACAAGTGGACCTAAGAAGAATTAAAACTTAATGCTCCAATTTTCTTCTGTTACTATGTAGACCTTTATTTACTGACTATCTAAACTATGATTTCTCATCATATTCATACTACAGGTCAATTGCTCCGCCTGAAAATGTTTCGAGAGGACCATGGATCTTGGATGACAATGTTCTTCAGTACCATCCTCTTCCTCTTCATTTTTTCTCACATTTATAATCTGTTCCTGATTATGGCTGGGAATATGAGGTAGGCAACAGTTTTTTCTTTCTGTCTCTTCTCTAGAATATGTCGTTTTGGAAAGTCTTTATAATACACTATTTTAGAGGGAACAAAACAGAACAAGAGGGAACAAGAGAGAGAAAAAGTGTTAACATGTTAGTATTCACCACGTTCTTTATTCCTTTGTTTTCTAAATTTCTAAATTCTAAATTTTACCTTCTAAATTTAGGTAGAATAATATCAATCATGAAAAGTGAGATCTTGAGATACAGCAACTATTATATCATAGTGCCAATGATCATTGCTTTGCAAAACTAACTGCTTTGATTAATTGCTACACTTGAGCAAATTAGATTAGAAGTTAGGACTGAGTAATTTAAAAATGTAAATGTTATCCGTGATCATACCCAGGTGATTCAGGTGTTAAAAGAAATTGAAAGATGCAGACTCAAGGACATGTACGTTCAAACCACGAACTTCACATATGTACTACAGTGTTATTTTGGTCATGCCATACAATATTTTCTCATCCAATTTTGTAACAGTAGTCTTAAAAACTAATAACTGTGCTTTTTTTCCGTAAGGTGCTCCTATAGGGCAAAATTATGGTTGTTTTAGGGAGCAGTAGTTATGTTCTGCTATCCCTAGATTTATTGTAAGATGAAATTTTAATTGAATTTTCTGCCTTAAGGAAACCAGCTTTTTCCTATCATTCTGAAAATTAACTCCACTTTCACATGTTGATTGTCCTGAGAAAACCTACATTATTAGTCATCTAGTGCCTACTAAGTGAGTTAATTGGACGGAGGCACACAGAAATATTGTTTATAAAAGGCAAGGTAGCATCTGAACAGTTTCTATCAAGGAAAAGAAAATCCAATCTATATTTGAGTTGAAGAGCCTGGCAAATAAGTGAATAGCTTGTCTTTGCTCTGCAGAATAGAAAAGGCATACCAAAAGACTTGAAGAAGTTTAATTGAATGGACCCTGGTGTGACAATAGTGTATTACAAATTTTTGTATGCCAACAATATTCACAGTGTATAAAGAACTTTTAACAATGTGAGATAAAACAAAAAGTGAGTAGGAGACAGATCGGATGTCACTTAACGAACATGAACACAGACTGTGATAATCATGTTGCTATTGTAATAGAACGAAACATTAATTTGTCTTGATTCAAGAGAGGTGAGTAAATAATCACTTGTTATTTTAGGAGAAAAAAAGGACCATGTGAGCAGGAAGTGATTATGGTAACAAGGCAGTAGATATGAATACGCGCCTAGCAAGTGGGAGAACAATCCTTCCTCGTTGAGGAAGGTGGGAGCACTGCAGGCTTCTGGCTTCCCTATTTACATATTTGTACTATTATTGGTAGTATGTTATGCTTTCTGTTAGATATTTATAAAACTCCAGAAGCTCCACTAGCTGTTAGGTAAAGCATTAACCAGCTCGACAGCTGATCTCCTGTCTAGAAATTAGAGTTTGTTTGCCCTTGACAACGTTCCTGTTCCCCATATCTATTACAAGTTTCCGTGATTCATCTGTATCCCATTGGCTGCATGGAGGAGATACATGGTGAGCTGTATATAACTGAGTGCATGGAAATAGGCATAGCCTATTAATAAAATAGTAGAGCCAGGCAATCTATGTTCTCCCCTAAGGTGGAGTGCAGTTTTTCCTTTTCTAGAGCTAATGTCAGCCCTGTTTTTGTCACTGATAATTATAGGAAACTGACCCTGGCTAATCCTTCTGACTTTTCAAAGTGCAGAGAAGGCTTATTAAGAATGTTTTGGGTGCATTTCAGCAGAAAGCCCTAAATAAATTGAGAAAAGAAAGTTTCAGTCTCAGACTCCACAGCTTTAATTTGAACAGAGCTGTTCACAGCCCAGGTAGGGCAACATGCAACACTTTCAAAAGAGGGACAGAGGGATCCTACAACAAAAGACAAACATCAAAGCTATCTACTTGACCACAATGAATGTTTTTTTAAAGGATAGATTCCTTTTTCCTGAGTAAATGCAATGCTTACAAAAGCTGTTTGTCTCATGTTTGGTGTTTCTGTAAAAGAGAACACCTCTGGGAAAAGCCTTTGCCAAGGTGCTGTGCAGGAATGGCCAGCAGCAGAGGGACTGGCTTCCAGGATAAAGGTCAGGATCCATCTGCATAAAGGTTAAAGCCTCTGCAGGGACAAGCTGACCTTTGTGCCTCTGGGCTTCTGCGCAAAAAACACCTCAAAATACAAGCATACAAAGCATACAAAATGCATACCCAAACCAAAACAAGGACTGGGAAAATCTTACAATTACTGCCTATGAGGCTGAGCAAAAGAAACAATAATTCTTATGTGTGTTTGTTTATCATTCTGTCTGTGTATCAGCTTGCCCTGCATGTTGGCAGGAGAGAGATTTTGACAAGTTTCTTATGTCAGATATCTGATCTTATAAATGAAAGCTCCTTTGTGGCTCACTAGGGTAGGAGAATCACCCGTCTTGCATGTGCATGCCAGTGCTGATTATCTCTGCTGAAACAATATCCCATTGAGGGATGGAGGAACCCATGGCAGGAGTGTTATAAAGTTGTTTAATGTTCCCATCTCTAGGAACATACATTTTACAATTGCCAGGACTTTTATTATTATTTTTATAATTAAAAATATCATAATGGCATATCGCACATGTCATAATTTGGTAAACTTAAAAAAGTCTGAATATGTCCCTTTAGGAAGAATAATGATATGGACTGTGCTTTGCTGGAAAGAGAAAAAAAAAACAAGAACAAGTAGCTGGCATTTGAATTCGTACTGTACAGCTATTTGCAGGGTGACAGTGTGACATTTGGGTTTGAAAATTTTGGAATAGGTTGGGATGTGTTATTTTTAATTCCTCTTCTCTTTCAGTAGCATTTCCTTTTAGGGGCTTATTTCCCTAGTCCACTGTACATTAATTAGGTCATTATTCCTTTAATCAGAGCTGAACATCTGGCTGAAGAAACCTGTCTGAAAAGTCACAGAATGATCCACAGCTATTACTTCTTATTGCTTCTCGTTGCTAAAGCAGGAGCCAAATCCTAGTTGGACACAGGACCCTAAATTGTAGATCTTTAATGTATAATTTCTCGGTCAGGATTGTGGCAAATCCACTATCACACAGTGAAGAAAAGAGGTTATGGAGTCAGAAAGCAAGAAGGAATTTATGTGTGCTAAGTTTTATTTCCATTAGAGGAATGTCAATCAGAGCTGTTTTCCTACCTTATACTATAAAGTTAGTCTCTTAGGTGCTATTTAAGAATAAGATGATTGTGGTTAAGGATCAAATCAACTGCTTGTCAAACTTTCCTGAACAGACTTACAGAAGGCTTTCCCTCTGAATTATGCAGCCTGTCCCAGACAACCAAAATTGATGTTTCAGGCATATCTTTTCACGTGTGCCACAGGGACACAGCTCATGCTTTTGGAAGGCTTTCTGCAAGGTGGGGAACACCCTAGAGGCCAGTGTAGCAATACTGGGTGCCTTCTGTGCCCTTTGCAACCTGCGACAGTGCAGGGAGAGAGTTTACTGCAAGACTTTGAGTTTCCTACAGCTGCTTGGAGAGAAATCTGCATCTGAGGAGCTGTCAGACTCAGATGCCATTTGTAGATTTACCACTGAAGGTGGTGGTGACAATGCTGTCACATGAAAGAATGACTAATTCTCAGAGACAGATGAATGTTTTTCTCTCTGAAATTCTCTTTGCTTATGTCTGTGTTTTATCATTAGAATTAATTTCTGAAGTATTTTTCTGCATTTCTGTTTCTACCTATTCTGGCCTAGATTTCTGTGACCCCGATTCACAGCACATATCCAAACAGCAACTTGCTTAGTTATGCTGTGCCTCATCCTCAACAGGACCTTCCATCTTCATATGACTTTGTCCAATGTGTCACCACGTCACAGTGAGGCAGCAAGCACTAGGCAAAGGCAGATCCCTGGCGAGCTGTTGAGTGGGGAGAGTTTGTCCCATGAGGACATGAAGATCATGTTCCACCAGAGTGGTGGTGGAGAGGGCCCAGGGAGCCCATGGAACAGTATATGGATCAGCTTGGCAGGACAAAGGTGGGGGAGCTGCATAGGAAGGCAGCAGGAGTGAGTCGGGGTCAATCTGTTCTCTAGAGTAACTACCAATAGGACAAGAGGAAATGGCCTTAAGTTGCCCCCGGGGATGTTCAGGTTAGATTTTAGGAAAAAAATTTACGCAGAAAGAGTTGTCAAGTGTTGGAACAGGCTGCCTAGTGAAGTGGTGGAGTAATTGTCCCTAGCAGCATTAAAGAAATGTGTAGATGAAGCACTATGGACATGGCTTAGTAGGTATGGTGTTGAGGGGCTTATAGTTGGACTCGATCTCAAAGGTCTTTTCCAACCATAATGATTCTATGAGTCTAGGAGCCTGTAGATGATTCCAAGAATACTCTTCCTGCAAATGTCTACAGCCCAATGGCTGGGAGACTGATGGCTGTTACTGTGCTCCGTTCCCTACTTTATTAACCCACGGCCAGTTACCCATGGCTGTTCTCCCTAGGGCACTCTAGCATGCAAGTTCAGCTTGGTCTCAGAGGAAGAGAGGATCTTATCTGCACAGCAGAGGGCAATATAAATGTGTGTAGAGTCTACATGCTTTGCAGTGTACCAGGTATGGATCCAAGGAGGCTTTACAATTTAATTGGAGCCTATGTTGCTTGGTTAAATTCTCAGAGCAGGGCTTAGAGTTGTAAAAATTTTCAGCATTTCAACAGTTCAACATTCAACATTTCAATGCCCTTTTCTCCTGCTCGCCAGACTGCAGCCATCTTAAATCACTACTTACTTTAGTCATAAGCATTAGCTATATACATCTGGTAGTCATAAGCATTGGCTATATATATGTGGTTCAGGCCTTAGGAACTCAAAGACATATTGCATAACTTTGGCTGCTGCCCAAAGTCCCATCTACCTCTTGACCCAGTGCAGTCAGTTTTTGGAGCAATGATTGGCCCTGTGGTAGTGAAGGGTG